GAAAATGTTTGCTTTTGAAAAAGTAGTTGCAAAATTCGAAAAAATTCAGTGATATAGATTTCGATGTGCTGATTCCAAAAATGTAACATGTTTATCGTCCCAACAAAAGATTTTAGAAATATTCCGTTTCAAAACAATATTTTTTATCAAAAAAAAATGCACAATTCCAATGGGCGATTCGGGATAAATGTAAAAGTTATGGAAGAAATGGGGCCGAAATTAACATTTGTAGATGGAAATCTGTAAGAAAGGTTTCGAAATTATCGAAAATTGGGCGAAATTTTCATATTGAAAAATTTTGCATTATGAAAAGTTGTTAAAAAATTCCGAAAAAATTCATTAACATAGATTTCGATTTAATCCAAAAAATTGCAATATTCCAATGGGTGATTCTGAAAACATAGTAGAAGAGTAGTGGAAGAAATGAAAATTGGCCAAAATTTTCATCCAGGGGTATTGAAAAATTTTGTTTTTGAAAAAGTTACCAAAAATACCCAAAAATTTATTTAAAAATGGTAGTAGTTATCGAAGAAATGGGCCCAAAACCAACTACAGTGGGTCGAAATTTATACGTTTCGAAAATGGTCAAAAATTTGCCGAAATTTTCATTTTCAATACGAGTTATGGAAGAAATGAGGCCGAAACTAACTTCTGTAAGTATAATTATATAAGGAAATGTCTTTATTTAAGTTTTGAAAAATATGAAAAATTGGTCGAAATTTTCATATTGAAAATTTTTGCTTTTGAAAAAGTTGTCACAAAATTCCCAAAATGTCATGGTTATAGATTTCTAGATATTGATTCCAAAAATATAGTGTTTATTGTCGTGGGGGCAAGATTTTAGAATTATTCGACTAGAAAAATGAAGCCAAAACGAGCTTCTGTATCTCAAAATCTATAAGGAAATGCCCTCAGTTAAGTTCCAAAAATCGCCAAAATTTGGCCGAAATTTTCATTTTCAATATTATAAAAAAAATTCGGGTTTATGGCCTCGGAGCACAATGTTAGAAATATTCGGTTTAAAACTCTTTTTTTTTTAAATCGAAAAAATGCAATCGAAATCTATAATGAAATATTTTTAGTTAAGTTTCGAAAACTATAGAAATTTGGCCGAAATTTTCATTATCAATTGTATTATAATTTTTTTTTTTTTTTGAAAAAGTTGACAAATAATCCCCAAAAAATTTAGAAACATGGATTTCGATACCACAAATATAGTGTTTATTATCCCGGATCAAGATTTTAAACATCAATTTGAAAATCTTTTTTTTTAATCCAGTATATTATAACATTCCAACGAGTGATTCTGGAAAAATGGTAAGGGTTATTAAAGAAATGAGGTCGAAACTAGCTTCTGAAGGTCGAAATCTATGAGAAAATGTCTTCGATTGAGTTTCAAAAATCGTCAAAAATTGGCCGAAATTTTCATTTTCAATACTAAAAAATTAAGTTTTTGAGAAAGTTGAGAAAAAAACAACGGAACAAAATGTTAGAAATATTCGGTTTAAAATTCATTTTTTTTAATAGAAAAAATGCAATCGAAATCTATAATGAAATGTTTTTAGTTAGGTTTCGAAAACTATAGAAATTTGGCCGCAATTTTCATATTGGAAATTTTTGGTTTCGAAAAAGTTGTCAAAAAATTACCAAAAATTTAACGAACATAGATTTCGACGTACAGATTCCAAAAATGTAGTGTTAATTGTCTCGGGGCAAGATTTTAGAAATACAATATATACTGTATAAATATTTTGTTAATAAAAGATAGAAATTGTATTCTGATTCGCTTTTCATCAAAGATTGAATCTGTTTTTTCATTGCTTGCTTTTCCCAGCTCGCTGTAATATTTAACCGAACAAAAATTGGTGGCTTTTGGTGCCACAAACATAGATAAAAGTGGACACAACATTATGGTAATTTAAATTTGCATCACAATGGTTACGCTATTTAAATTTTTAGTACACCACAATAGGAACTGGAAGGCAATGCACTCATTGAAGGTTTAATCCAAAATAAGTAGCAAATCTCTAAATAAATAAATTAAGTTTTGCACAAACAAAAACAATAATTTCGCTAAAATCCGTAAAATTTTCGCGTTCCGTACCATACAGACTCTATTTTTGTACACTAATGAAATTTTATGGGTCTATTAGTGTCATTTAATCCAACAGTGGTCACTATTTTAGATACTACAACTTGTACAGCCTTGAAATGTGCTTGAAGTTCAGGGTTGTATTTATGACGAAAATTGGTTGTTAGAGATTCATTCACTCAGCTAAGTACTGAGTCAAAATAATTTCATTACGCTGAAAGTCAACTACATATTGACCTATAAACACATACAACAAATTAATATTCTATTACTCTACGCGACTCGTACAAACATTACAGTTAAATTGGTTACAGAAGAAAACAAATCCGACTCTGTTCACTGTTTGCCGCTCTTTCAGTTTTAGGTCGTAAAATTTTATTAATATACAAAAATAGTGTTCTTGTGTGTAAAAGAACGTATGAGAATAAAATTTAGACAGGAGTCATTTGTAATTTTAATAAATGTTAAAGAAGAATTTGATCACAACTTTTGTTTCTCATTATGTTTTTATCGCATTTTTCTCCTTACAATTAAAATTTAAGTATTCTCAGAAAAAAAAACGTTCATTGCTTGAACATTATTTGGAAATTCATTTCCCAAATACGGAGAAAGCTTGACTTAAAATTAAATGAAAAATTTACCTCCATACCCACGAACATCAAAAATAACCGTCGCAAACAACACGAAATTTTCAAATTTCTCACTAGTCACTATTCAGAAAAATTAAACTATGTACTATCAAAAAATAAAATTCAGTCTTGTTGCACTACATGTAGGACATTTACCTCCACCTACGACTGAAAACAAACTAAAAAAATATCTCTTGGATAACGACTTTTATTCCATTGATATTTTCTTTTCAGATAGATTTCACATTTCATTGTAGTTTGCTATTTATTCTTTACTTAACACACTTCTGGAAGCAACTTACAGTAGTTACAACACCGCACAAATAAATTTATTGTCATTAATTATTATTATTGCTAAACAAAAAATGGCCGATGGTGTTTATGCAAACATCATCATGAAATCGCCATTTTGAAATCTGTTCTATCTGCGACTGCAGAAAACAATTTCGACTTGAAAAACCTTTTTTCTAGTTTATTTGGACATTCAACTCTACCTAATTACACCAGTACTCCTTAAATTTTTTCCGAAAAACAAAAATCATGTTCATCGTAAAACCACCTAAAACCTATATTGTCCTAAAACAACCCCCAACCTGCAGATTTCCCCGTCCATAAAAAATACCTATTTTTGTGTCGTGCGTCAACAACGCAGTTATTAAAAAAAGAATGACCTTTCTTGCAAGAAAAATATCAAAATAATATTTTAAACAAGCGTGATAATACTGTCATAATAGGAATGCACTTTTACACTCTGAATTGTATAATTGGCTCATTTTTTATCCAATTACTGTAATTGGAAGAAACCAGATTCGCTATCTGCGAAGATTTGCCCCTCGGTATTACATAAAAAATCACGTACTGACCGTATGCATGCGAAATTCTTCTCATTAATTGTAATTACCACACTCATCAAAATTAATTTGGATAAACATCATAAGACGTTTTAATTAAAATTATTTTTTGTTTTTCGGACTTTGAGTTACCAAGGAAGCAGAAGCAGACTAAACACGCCGGAAGGTCGCAAGGGTTTCGCGGAATTTGGCCCAAAATAACGCCAAAATATCCGGCATTCTTGAGACTTGAACAAATTGTCAAAGATAAACCCTGAAACCGACTAATATTATCGTACGCTCAAAAACTTTCAAATGAAATTCTTCGTTAATAGCTCATTTATCATTTGAAAAATGGTACAAAAAGGATAAGACACATTTATTGCCACGATAATTTTCGTATCGAAAACAGCAATGAAGGAAGGGTAATGAGGTTCAACTGGATTCTCGTATCGCCATCAATTAATTAGTAGCACCAAAGGCATAAAAATTGATTGTTTTTACACTCTAATATCAAACTGAGTCATTAATAACAATATTTAAATCAATAACAGCCGTATTTGTGCAAAATGTACTAAAGTTGTGCGGCATTCAGGCAAGAATTTTTCTGAAAATTTTCGCGTTTTCGCGCGAATGCGTTTGCCTACGTGTCTCAGGTAGTCAAAAAATACAAACCTCGAGCAGTTCAGGTGGTGGAGAGTGTCGAGGGTTTCATATTTGACCCCGATTCAATACACATTGCAATAATCTCGACCTGAAGATCATAGTCCAGATGTCTGCCATGGGTCAATAAGGCAAGCCTGCCGTCGTCGAACAGCGCCGTTCGATTAATACTAATCAATATTCATGATCTGAAATAAATTTTGGAATTAATACTATTTCTCCTATCAGATGTCGTGTCTGAGAGAATTTGCAAACGTTGCAAAAGCAGCGATTAAACCGAAAAAATTATGACACAAGACAAAATTAGATGTTTTTATGTAGGCCATAAATTAAACTTGGCGATAAATCTGTATCTGAAGCTACGAAGAAAAAATATAAATAAAGGATAGGTAATCAAACTACGTCACGAGTGAAGAAAATAATAGGCATTATCGCGCTTGCTTGCGCATTTAGGTGTTAAGAATAATGTAGTTACTAAACGGTTATAATTTGTCGAGTGCAAGTAAATGGAAAATCATGTCGAGGAAAGATTTTTTCGATTGAAACAATTAACCGCTGCAGTCGAAAATCTTTGAGAAAATTATTTATTGTGGACAATCCGAGATATCGCCAAGTTCGCGTGATATCGTGACAAGGAAACAATGATTTTTTCTTCCCCTAATGCCTCATTCGTAATCTCGATATTTTTTCATACATAACATGTCCTATAATTTGTGCATTTACTCTAAACGTCGTGTTTTTATAGAGCTTTCAATCATTTTTCGGGGGGTACGAATGAAAAGGTAGTCACTGATGAGTATTTTATTAAAGATACAAAACAAGACTTAATCATTGTACTTAAGTCGGTTTACTAAATCGAGCAGTTAATGTAACATACTAACTTGTATATACACAATATATACAATTACAACAATAAAAAACAACAATGAATATGAAGTTTGTACAAGTGTCTATAATCCGTATAAATAAATGCGACCTTTGTTAACCAATGGTCAGAAATAAATAATCGCAACGTCCATACACTCAAACCCAACCGTAACAATACTCAGGCTGTATTCTCTCTCCTAATGAGATAATGGTCACTAACGCACCGGGTTTGTCATCGGCCTTGGGAAACTATCTTGTCGCCTCTGCATGAACCCCAACATATTCTTGAACGGCAACAACATATGGTAGTAGGCACAGTACGGCAACGGATCCCAAATCGCAAACAAAGCCTCCCTCTTATCAATAACGGTACCAATCAGCCTAGTAACAGCCTCTAGGTTCGGGTTCCGGATGGTCGTCATCACGGTTTCGCTCATCCAGTACCTTCCATTCTCACTAATCAAAGGCCCGGAGTTCTGGCGACTGAAGTGCCTGCACGGCTTCCACAGCAACCTTGGATGAACATTCGTGTAGCAAATATAGGGCAGCGAAACCCCAACTCGGCTACTCAGCGGTATTATAGTACCACTATCCTTCGGTACGACAAACCTGAAGCTCACGTGTCCCGTGATGGGTCTCAACAAATTCAACTTATTGAAGAAGTTGGTCAACCAAGTGTTGATTTCTTTATGTTCGATGGGTACTAACCCGTTGTTGGTCTTGTCCATGCGACAAGTCACATTTGCAATCACCTGTGATTGCTTGATGGTTGTGCATGTCAAGAAATGGTCGCCTTCGACGTCCTGGACGACCACCCATGGTCGCTGCTCGCTCAAGTCGTTGGGTAGTTTTAAATCGGCTCGGGACACCGGGAGGATCATTTTGGAGCGTTCGCGCAACCCGCTGGGTCCGGCTGTGGTCATGATGTACCGACCCATTCGGATAGCGCCCGTGTCGTACAACTGGTATACATCTTCGCGTGACGTGACGGCGTGATAAGTGGGTGTGGGGATGGAGTACTTCTGACACCGTTTTAGTACCTCGAGGGTATCGTCAAGCGCCCAGACTTCTTTGATTCCGGGGCAGAAACAACTACACCCGAGAAGCTCCAAGTGGGGTTTGGCCACAGCATCAAAGTACGCCGACGTCGTCGAACTAACCGGAATGTAATAAACCGCTTGTTCTTTATCCACGATCTCGCATAAAGCCCTCACGTAGTTCTGCTGCTGGTCACTCGTGGGTTTAGGTACTGTATAAAAGCGACTCACGGCAGTTGAGAATCGTGTCAAAGCAAACAACCCATCGACTTCGCAGACCACGACTCTAGCACCCGCTGAGTAGAAATTCCTGGCTAGATGTAGAGCTTGAATGGTACTGCCTCCACTGATCAGAACCGTCCTCTTCTTACGAGTTCTTTCGCTGCTAGGCGACAAAACAATCGATAGAAGCATCTTGATCACAGTCCACGGCAAATTGATTAATTGCGTGAAGAACCAAACCCACATGGAGATCCACAGCATCGGCAAGGCGAAAACCAGCTGTCTCCACGTCTGGGGCAAAACCGCCAGAACTACCGCCTTCGCAATCCTGAGGAGAAAGCAAGGATACCACCCTATGATATCCGCAAGGGCCGAGAACGACTCATCCTCTTCTTCTCTCTGGTTCACGACCGGACTCTGGCTTCGCGAGTCCCTGCAGTCTGAGCGGATCACAAAAGGCTCCTGGATGACGGCACCGGCGGAAACCGTTCTTCGCAGCCGCCTTCTTCGCAGGGTGCTGTCCGGGGACGTGGAGATGGGCGAGAGCGAGTTCGGCGAGCTGGGGCTTTGGAAGCCGGAGCTGCTGCTGATGCTGCCGGCATGGATGCTCTCGTTGCTCGGCCACACTCGTGATAAACTTTCAGATGTGCAAGTGGGCATCTTGGAAGGCGCACCGACACGGAATAATAACACTGATGTGTGCCACTGTCAAGTCATTAATTTAATAAACGGTCGGAAACGATGCACACATCTCTTATAAAAGCTACAGTTGTACTATGCCCCTTGGTTCTGGGTACCCCTTCCATTCGACGCCGGGAGAATCACGTCGGACTATTGAGGTAGTCTTTATTATATTATGGCGCTTATCGGAATTTGTGTTCACAATGATAAGGACTGGAGTGTGATTTGGTTGTTATTAAAAATGGGCGAAGTGTGCCGAAATGGAGCACACAGTGTTAACTGATTCGGTAGCAAGATAAAAAAATCGTTACAAAAAAAAGTTGCAACCTGGGGAGTTTTTTGGACAATTCGTATAAATCGGTTCGTCAAGGTTAATTAAAACAAAAATTAAGGCCATTTTAAATTTAAAAGACCTTTGCGAGGGTTACATAATTTATAAATAAAACTAACACGACAACACACTTAACTATGACTACTAGTTTGGATTTAGAGGTCTATTTTGTAACTCTTAACGATCTCGCTAGAGCATCGTTAACTTACGATAATCGTTCCCATAACGATTTTGGGACTGATAGCGATTTTGTAACATATATCGTCTCGTTACGTAGCGATCGTATAGTTAGAATGTCAAGTAGTTGCTAAGATAAGACTGACTTTGGCAAATAAAATACCTTCTAAGAAAAGAGAGGGCGGGTGGGCGAGGCTAGTAATAGCTGCTAAGTTAGCTATTAGCCCCGTCCACCCACCATCTCGTTTCTTAGAGGGTATGTCATCTGCCAAAATCAGTTTTATCTTAACAGGTACTAGCCCCACCCACCCATCCTTTCTTTTCTTAGTGGGTATGTCGGCTGCCAAAATCAGTTTTATCTTACAGGTACTAGCCCCGCCCGCCCACCCTTTCTTTTCGTAGTGGGTATGTCATTTGTCAAAATCAGTTTTATCTTAGAGCCTATTTCATTTGCCAAAATCACTCAGTGCTAAAATAAAACTGATTTTGGCAAATAACATATCTACTAAGAAAAGAGAAGGTGGGTGGGCGGGGCTAGTAGCTGTTAAGATAAGACCGATTTTGGCAAATGACACCCTCTAAGAAAAGAGAGGGCGGGTGGGCGGGGGTAGTAATAGCTGCTAAGTTAGCTATTAGCCCCGTCCACCCACCGTCTCGTTTCTTAGAGGGTATGTTATCTGCCGAAATCAGTTTTATCTTAACGGGTACTAGCCCCACCCACCCACCCTTTCTTTTCTTAGTGGGTATGTCGGCTGCCAAAATCAGTTTTATCTTACAGGTACTAGCCCCGCCCACCCACCCTTTCTTTTCTTAGTGGATATGTCATTTGCCAAAATCAGTTTTAAATTAGAGCCTATCTCATATGCCAAAATCACTCACTGCTAAGGTAAAACTGATTTTGGCAAGTAACATACCTATTAAGACAAGGGAGGGTGAGTGGGCGGGGCAAGTAGCTGCTAAGATAAGACTGACTTTGGCAAATAAGATACCTTCTAAGAAAAGAGAGGGCGGGTGGGCGGGGCTCGTAATAGCTGTTAAGTTAGCTACTAGCCCCGCCCACCCACCGTCTTGTTTCTTAGAGGGTATGTCATCTGCCAAAATTAGTTTTATCTTAACAGGTACTAGCCCCACCCACCCACCCTCTCTTTTCTTAGAAGGTATATCATTTGCCAAAATCAGTTTTTTCTTAGAAGATACTAGCCCCGCCCACCCACCCTCTCTTTTCTTAGTGGGTATGTGATTTGCCAAAATCACTCAGTGCTAAGATAAGACTGATTTTGGCAAATGAGATACCTTCTAAGAAAAGAGAGGGTGGGTGGGCGGGGCTAGTACCTGTTAAGATAAAACTGATTTTGGTAGATGACATAGCCCCTATGAAACGAAAGGGTGGGTGGGCGGGGCTAGTAGCTGTTAAGATAAAACTAATTTTGGCAGATGACATACCCTCTAAGAAAAGAAAGGGTGGGTGGGTGGGGCTAGTACCTGTTAAGATAAAACTGATTTCGGCAGATAACATACCCTCTAGTGTTGTTATCAGATCAACTTCAAATTTATTATCTGCAAAATCGGTCAACCATGTGAGCTAGAACCACGTGGGTTAAACTTCAAGTTGAATAATAACAAACCTAAGATTATTTAATTTATTTTTGAAAAACCTAAAACATTCTGAACTATTTAAAAAATATATAACGAACTTAGAACAAAAATTTAAAAACTCACACGGTATTTGAACAGCGAACAAAACATGGCACGCAAAGCAAAATAATATGACATTTTTTTTAAGATTATCCGGTGATTCATAAATAATAATACATATTTTAACCGAAATTAATAATAAGCTCGCTTTAGTACTGAAAAAAAAGTTTCAGGAAACGTTTATTTTGTACGGTGGTAAAAAATCAATAAGTGAAGTATTACTTCACAAGGTTTCTAAAAAACGATTTCAATTATTTATGATTTTCAGTACCCTGTGATTACGCAAAACTTAATTTAAATCGCCAAAAAAAAGAAAAAAAACTTAACCTATATCGACTGAACAATAGTGTATATAAACATTGCCAGAAAGGGAGAAAGGAACACCCATGCGCTAGTGGGATTTGAACCCCAGCCCGTTGCACACAACGAGTCTGGCTCTCGCCAGCTCCCGCTGATCCAACTGACCCGCACTTCAACCCCTAGTTGAAATTGTAATTCTCTTGCGTTTCGACGCGAACTGTCAAACCCTCCCCTTTAATTCCGCGGTTTATGGCTAAATAAATCTCGCTCAACGTGGATTTTTACCTGCAATACAAAAGCAATAACCGAAAATCTCTTGAAATATCACCTACTTGGCTGTCGATTTTTCCCGAAACGATGACGTCATCGCAAAAAATCATTAACAATTATTGCGTGTGTTTTAATAATGCAATTTTGACCATTCTCCTTGAAACAGTTACGTCCTCCCTAGTGCTATCAACATAAATCTTTTATCCCACCACAATGTTGATGACGTCTTTTAAAATTTGTTACTATTCAAAAATGCACCGATGACGTCAGGACCCACAAAAAAAACGTACAAAAAAAGTTACCCTTATTGACGTCAACCGGAAATGTTTAAACTTGTTCCAGCAAGTGTACAATCTTGGTTTTCTGCATTATTTTTCCAAATTTGTGTACCTTGGTGAATTTTTTTGTATAAAATTTGATTAAAAAAATTGACACATTCTATGACTATTTTCTTACTCGCTACCAACTATAAATCTGTTTAAAATACTTAACTTACCGTATTCACTATCTTCAGTTGAATTTAATACACAGCTTTTCTTAAACTACTCATAAAAAGCTTTTTTGCTAAAAAAAATCTAAATCTCAGTCTGAATCACCATGGCAACCAAGCAAAAACAATGAAAACATGGCACAAAGCCCCATACGTCACTACCTGCCAACTAGATCATTTTCAGCCCAAATTTCGCGCCCATATCTAATCAATAATCAAATCACTGAATATTCATTTTTCAACTCCAAAATAATAAAACAATTTAAATTCAAGCAAAACTTCTGCACATGAGCATACTCCCCGAGCGTGAACTTGTGCACAAGAATTTGACAGTTGACGAACAAATTGTAAATAAAGTGGTTTAAATCGGCCACACTAGGGTAAGTACGGTAAAAACACCAATTGCTACTCACATATGGCTTGTAAACAACCACCCTGTAAATAATTCTGCCGCAAAAAGTACAAAACCACAAAAAATTTCATCATCACTTACAGGTTACTTCGATACAAACAAACCCAAGGTTGGTATTACTGTCGACGGAAGCGGCGCGAGATTCAAACCAAAATGGACCCGAAAGACAATCACGAAAGTATCGAGCAACTAACACGAATGAAAATCGCCTGCTCACGCATTTTCCAAAACCAGAAAGACGTGGAGAGTGTGAAAGAGCTGCAAAATTTGATCAGAAGTGCGCGACCTACGATTGTGAAAACTTTGGAACCGCTTATTTTTTCAGTTTTCTTTCCAGTGTTAAAAAGTATCTCTGAACCCAATTCAAGGTATTGCAAGCTTCGGTGTGTTTTCTTTATAACGTTAATTAATTTTAGCTTTAAAGAAAAAGACAAACAGCAAGTAGTTGACACTTTCAAAGTGTTTTTTGAAAAAATCAGCATTGAAAAGCTTCCATTATTTTTTAACATTTATGGCTTCCTTTTGTTTGAAATTTACGACCACTTAAACCACTCTGGTAGGTAATAATTGTTACTAAGTTCAACTACAGGTGGTGTTATTATTTTCCAGTGTTAAAAATTAGTGAAGAATACAAATTGAGTATTGTGGAATGTATGACAGCGCTTGCAAAATGTTTAAAGTCGTCTTTAATCGCAGAATTGTATGTTAAAGAAAATGCACCCAAGTTGTGTCAGATGATTTACGTTGTGCTAGAAGTGGCTAAAAATGAACAATTTAGAGCTTTAAGGTAGGCTAATTTGTGACGTAACGTTGTGTGGCAGCACTGCCAGCGCCAAAATTCAAAGAACCATAACAAATGTTGTAGAATCGCTGCCATAAACTGCATTATGGCAATCGCGCACGTTCTCGACGACCACGACTTCAGCGACTTAGTAATGCGGGACCAAATTGCCGAAGTCTTTCTGTTTTTCCTTCCAGGAGTGGCAAGCCAGTTAAAATCGATTGCACTAATTGACGAAAAGTACGGACACAAAGTTCCAAGCGTACGTAAAACAGTCACAAAGTTGCAAAAAAGTATAAAAATGTTGTAGGTGGCTCTTAAAGCATGGGGCCGCATCGTCACTCTATTAATGCAAGATTACAACGCCTGTGACCGCAAAATCCACCTAAATCAACCAACGACGAACCCCAAACTTGTCAAAACCCGCTGGAAGGACGAAAACGAGTTGAAACAATACATAAAAAACACGCAGAGGTCGCCTGAATGGTACAAAGAAACCGATAAAAAGTTGCAGCAGATTATTGTCGAGTTTGCTAAACTCACGCACCATTCGCACCCCAATGTGCGCATGGAGCTTGTAAATATGGCGTCGTTGCTTCTCGAGAATTGCGTACACACTATGCCCACGTCAATCAGTCATGTTATCGATATAATCATTATTTTATCAGAAGACTGTGATTCTTTCGTCTCTCAAAAAAGTAAATCCGTTTTGGATGACTTGTCGCAAAAGCTTGTAACGAACGAGTATAAAGCGCTACTGGATAATTTAGAAGAGAGTTTTTACGGGGTGGTGACGAGTATGCCGCGGAAATTTAACGGGATTGGTAGGTAGCGGGTTGTTCTATGTAGAGTAAATAAAGAAGTTTTTTGTAGATGAAAGGGTTCAAATTGTGGCTTTAAATTCCTTGATTGGTTATGTCGATCTTTTTGGGAAACATTGTTTAACACGAATTTTACACTCCACGGTTCATTTGAACCGGCTCGTTTTGACTTTGATTCATGTGTGTGAGTTTAACAGGAGCGATGTGAGCACTCTGGAGGAATATACGACGACAGGTTTTAATTTCGTATCTCCGGTATTTGATAAATAATTATATTTTTTTTTTGTAGATTATGACCTCAACCAAGATTTGCACACGTCTTGGAAGAAATTCCGCCATTTTAAGGATGTCGTAGTTCTTAAAAAAATTGAAACGGTTTGTCGTTTGTTAGCTAAATACGGAGCGACTCCAATAGTGACTGATTTTCTGTTAGATATAATAATTTCAGAGCCTGAGCAACGAAAAGAGGCAATTTTTCTGTTAAATGAAGTGGTAGCAGGTGATTCGCGATCCTTTAGTAGTGTAATTTAAAATAAAAATATTTCTTTTTAGGTATTGAACTGAACGATGATCATAATTTCAACATTGTTAAAAACGTGGTATCAACCTACGTTGATAGTACCCACTGGTACCTGCCTCTTTCAGTCATGATAGACGAATATGGATATGAACACACCCTAGGTGACGTTCAAACTAACATTATCCAAGTTTGCCTTCTGGTTGAAGGAATTGGAAAAGTAGCTTCCATTCTAAACACCAATTTTAAGCAGTTTTTGTTAAAGACGTTGTATTTGGTTTTGGAACGAGCGGGTACCCACAAAAATATCTCATTTATATGTAAAAATAAATCAAATTTTTAGGCAGCGCCCACCCACTTGTACGATCCGCGGGACTGTTAGCCCTTTCCGACATTAGTAAAGCGTGTGGTTGTCACACCATAACAGAACTTATTAATAACAACATAGACTATTTTTCCTTTCACATTGAAAGAAAACTTAACCGTGGGAAAGAAAATGCAGGAGGGTTAGACGTTCTAGCGGTTGTCATCCAATACAGTACCAAAGAAGTACTAAATTCCACTTGCGACGTTGTTAAAGAGCTACTTTTGCGCACGTACGACAACAGAAGTAACCTCAATTCGTATCTACACGTTTTTAAAATGTTCGTGTGTGGTCTTCACAAGTGGCTACGTATTGAAACGGTTGACGCACCTTTCAAAACGAAAAAACAAAAACAGGAAGAGTTTGAAGACTTTCGAGTTTCAAATATTGAACCCATTGAGGATTTTTCGGACGGTGTTATGGGTAAGAGCGCCGAGGAAATGTACAAAGAAGATATGGAGAAGAGTAGAAGTCAAATTGAACAAGAGTGTAACGAACCGGTAGAAGAATACAAGAAACCGGAGCCTCCCACGCATATTAAATTAACTGTAGCCATCTTGAGTCGCACTCTGCATTACCTACCATCGAAAAACCAAACTCGGAAGTTGCTAGTTTTGGAAATTTTGAAAAACGGTCTCCCTGTGTTGAAAGAATGGGAAGATGAGCTTTTACCGATTGTTCACCAAATATGGTCGCCTTTAGTGGACAGGTTTAAGGAAGGTGAAGACGCTGTGATAGTTAACTACAGTTTTCGGTTGCTTGTGGTTTTGGCAAAACTTTCCAAGGAATTTATTAGATCACGAACCGCCAAGTGAGACTTTCGTCTATTGTATTTTTTTTTTTTAACTAATTTGTCTGCAGGGAAGTTTTGCCTAATGTTTTAACTATTCTTGATAAACTGGCCAAAGAAAGTTACTTAAAAGACAAAGGATCTGCGTACAGGTATAGCCAAAATTATAAGCTGCAGTGCACAATTTTGGAAAATTTGGCCCCAATTGTCACCGATTTGGATATGTTGCAGCAGGATTTTGATAAGACGATGGAGACGGTGTTTAAGTATGTCAGTGATAAACAGCCCATTCCGTTGCAGGTAATTTGTTTTATTTTTCTTAGGGTGGCTGCCCTTTTTAAGTTATACGTTGACGACAATATGATCGAAAAAAGCGTGTAGTGGGCCATGACATTTATTTTTAAAATAATGATGTTGGCATTACAACTTTGACACTTTGTTTGACAGTACAGTTTTCAATTTTTGTTCGATCATGTGTTTGTTAAAGTGAAACTGAACAAGTTTAGTCAAAAACTATCACATAAAATGAAACTTACCTTTACGTTTTAGAAATCCGCTCTAGTGTGTTTTGAGACGTTGGTGAAATACGACCCAAAATCGGCGGCGGAAAAAATAAACTCTTTGGTAGAAGATGCCCCTACAGAGTTTGAAAAAAACGTGGCGGTGATGAAAAGGTACTTGAATGAATAAACTGTTTTATAAATATTGTTTTATTTGTATTTTCCAATACAAAAAATTTAATTGCACACTTTTTTAAATTAAAATTATCAGTAATCTGTACATAAGTGACCGTTTTATATATTAACTATAATGTACTTATTTTTTTCAACTTGAGTCCACCATGTATCATTAAAAGTACTGCGTTAAAATAAATTATACAGTCTTTAAACTAGAAATAAAAATGTTTACAATTGAGACAAAATGAACGGATGCAACTAAAATAGAAATTAAAACTACTTAAAAAATATAACGTTAAATCAGAAATCATATTTCCATACAAATAAAATGGGGATGTATATAATGCAATTCATACAAAATACGATGACACTTTTACAACACTTCCACAAAAACAAACATATAAAATAATAAAACGGACGTAATCTAGGACTCGAAAGTGTCGTAAAAATCTCACGAAAAGAATCACAGGTTTGCAAGTGAATCCTCACTTTAACGCTCTTAAAAGCAAAACCTAAAATCGTCGAATTTGTACAAAAAACTCAGTTCTCAGTACTGACCGGCTCTCTAGCATGATGTATCTGCACGTGCTTATTATGATTCGACTTAGTCGTGGAAGTCTTCCCACAAATATGGCAGGAATACGGCCTCAAGCCACTATGTATGCGCATATGATCTTTGAGATAATAGGACCGATGAAAAGATTTCCCGCAGACCTTACAACTGAACATTTTCTCGTTCTCGTGCTCTTTGACATGTCTCTGGCAGTTGTACTTTCGGATGAACTGAGCCCCGCAGTGGTTGCAAGTGTAGGGCCTGATGCTCTTATGCGAGTTCATGTGAGCGATGTAGTCGGACTCCCTGATGAAGGCGCCCTTGCACTGGTCGCACTTGAAGGGCTTGGACACCCGCGACGCGTGCGTCCACTTGTGCAGCTTCAGGTTCCACTTGGTCGTGAAGTCCTTATTGCAGATCAAGCAAGCGTAGGGTCTTTGGCCGCTGTGGTTACGTATGTGGACTTCCAGCGAGGACTTCAGGTACACCCCTTTGCAAATGGGACACTCCACGTTCTCCGCGTTCTTGTGACCCGTCGGAAGAAACCTGTCGTTGTGCGCTCTGCGCATGTGCCGCGTTAAACTCGACATGTGTATGAACTTTTCGTTGCAATGAGTACACGATTTCGGCTTAGCGTCGTGGATTTCCTTATGCCACGCTAGCTTTTTTTTCGAGTGGAAAACCTCCTTGCAGAAGCAGATGTAATCTTTGACTTTCTTTTTTATGTTTAGGTGGTGGCGGTTGCGGTGTTGGACGAGGTTAGAGTGGCGGCGGAACGTCTCGTCGCACAGGGGGCACTTGATGGGGGCTTCCCCCGTGTGGATGTGCCTGTGCTCGTCCAACTTCTGCTTAGTAAGGAAAGACTTCTCGCAGACGTCGCATTTGTACGGTTTGATCCCCAGGTGTCTCCTCATGTGGAGCTGGATGTTCTGGCGTCTGTAGAACAACCTCCCGCAGATTTTACACTCCAGAGGGTGAATGCGCAAATGCTCGGAAAACTTATAGTCGTTCGGGAATTGTTGATCACAGGTCATACATTTATGTCGAGTTTGTGCGGTCACGTTATGGACGCTGATTTTGTGTTCTTTTAACGCTTTAGCGTTGAGAAGAACGCAGTCGCAGATGGGACAGACGGTTTTTAGTTCGACGGAGAGGTCGTCGCTTTTGACCGCAGCGACAGGTTCTTCGCACGGTACCTCAGGTACCTTTTCGGTTTCGGGGGGAGTTTCCATTTTTAATTTATTGGTGAAGACGTTGTCGAAATTTTCGGGCTTATCCGACTTGAATTTGACTACTAATTTTTTTATTTTGCTTTTGCCGATTTCGGAGCCTATTCGATTCGGTTTTCGTTTCTCTGGGTGCTTCTCCGCTTCGTGTTCTTTGCGATCGCGTAAACACGTGAAGGCTTCGTCGCACGACGGACACTTGAAGTTCAGCGGAGGCCCGGTGAAACTCACGATGGTGGGAGTTTCGCTTTCGTCGGGGTAGTTGACGTGGGGGGGAATGCGGCTCTGGAGAGGCGGCACCTCCACGTCGGAGCTATCCGACGCCTCCCAGTTCTCTCTGGCCAGAAGGTCGTACGAGGTGGACATTCCCGAACTACCCTCGTTGTACTGCACCCGATTCCACGTGATGTCGCTCGAGCCCCCTATGCTCTCCTGTCCCGACAACTCCCCCCTCGGAGGCATTCTCTCGTCAGCCCTTATGTTCACATTCGAACTCTCCCTCGACATACTCTCTTCAGCGTCTCTCTGCTCGAGAAAACCATCTTTCGAGTTATCGATCATTCCGCCGATCGTCATTAACACTCCGGGTCTGTCAGGGCCATTACCTTCAAAATTTTCAACTTGAGAAATGATCTGACTAGTCGAAAAATCATTTATTTCATTAATTACCACGTGCATCCCATCCATATCAACAAAATCTAACTGATCGGCAGATTGCAAGATATTGGAAGCGGTGTAAATAGGGTTACTCTCGTACGTCTGACTCAACTCCACCGACGTGTACACCGGCGGAGTCTCGCTCTCCCCCACGAAATAATACTCCTCGGGAGGCTTCGGCACCTCCTCCAGCGCCTCCTCGTCCTGCACCGACTGCGGCGACATCTGGTTGCTGCTCTGCGTCTGGCACGCTTTGTTCAACTCGGAGCCCTCCGACCCGGCCGGCGACGGCGCCTCGTCGTTTTCCGTCGGCGCGTAGTTCTCGCCCTCCTCGTCCATCTCGTACACCTCCATGTCGAGGTTGCCCTCCGGCTGGCCCTCGCTCTTCGCTTCCGGCTCGTCCTCGATCTCGTCGATCTTCTTGCACTCCTCGCTCTCCGTCGACGACGTGTCCGTCGAGCTGCACTCCGGCTGCGACGTGGACGGCGGCAGCTCGAACGGCAGCGTCCGCATGGGCGACAAGCAGCCGCTGCTCATGATGACCTGCTGCTGGTAGATGCACGGCATCATTTGCGGGTTGAAAATCGTGGGAATGACGTATTGCTGAGACGGGGGGTTCACGTTTAGTACGTTTTGTTGCGGAGTGGTGGTCATGCTTTGTTGGTAAATGAAGACGTGGTTGCCTTGCAGAGAAGGGATGCTCGGAGGCATGTTTACTAAGTTACCTTGATTCCAAGTTTGGTTTACTATAGCTGTGTTCACGTGGGAACTGATCGAGCTGCCGTCGGGTTGGGACGAAGAGTTTCCGATTTTTTCCACTTCTCCGGTTTCTGACAAGCGGACTAGGGCTTCAATCACCTTCTGTTTTGGATGGCTGCTTAGGTGGGTCTTTAGGGTTATGCCAGGTCTGAGGTATAATGTACAAACGGGACAGGATATGTTGTTTGAATCCATTTTGTGCGAGTTTGTGATTGTGGATTCTGTGGCTCAGCTGTACACTCCTCTGACTAGGTTATTGATCTGTTATAACAAAATCAATGATGAGTGTTCAAGAACGGTAAAAACAGAGGAAGCGACTGAGCTTGGGTGTTTTAGGGCTAATTGTGCTTTCAAAGCGACGATATCGCGAACAGGAATCAACTTAATCATTTTTGTCCCAAATAAACAAAAAATACAAAGCACTCAGTAAACAATGAACGCTCCTACTAAAGTCTAAAAGTAAACAGAGGACGACTTACCTTACTACAACTAGATGTTCATTTTGAAGAAGTGCTGGATTCACGAAAACGTCCGAAATTGGAATTTTAATGATTATTAAACCCGTAGGACAAATTTCAGTCAGCCATCATGTTTGACATGACAAAGAGCTGGGGACATTCAATTTGTTCGTATTAGGTTGGCACCGCCAGAGACACAAATCTTTATTTACTGACAGGGGCGGACTGCTTTTTTTAACATGAAAATCGTAAATCCGCAGAAAGTGCAAAGCAGTACGACAACCTTAAAAAAGTACACCACAAAAACCAGAGAGCACACGGGATTGGTCAAAATCATGCAAAAAAAAAAGTCGTTTTGAAATCGATTGATTTAGAATTTAATTTTGTGACACAAGTTTGTTTTTCAAACTCTGTTGGCTACAAAACATTCATACTTTTCGAAGTACAACAAGTACAGCAAGAATGTCAACCTTGTTTTCAAAACACATTTTTTTTCAATGACGTCATTGATCTTTTTATGATTAGTTTTGGTACATGCTTTACATTTTTAATGTAATCATAATAAGATTACTTAAAATTTTGAAAAAAAAAACAATTTATGGAAAATTCGAGATGTTAGTGAATGAAAAACGATTTGTTTTATTAATGTTTTAAAACAGGTTTTTGTTTTAATTAATATTATTATTATTTTAATTACCTTTTTTAGATTTTTGATGTGATTGATGGTAGTTTTCGTTTTAAAAAGAGCAGAAATTTTGAAATTTTAATAATATTACCAATTCCATGCTAACAACTACAGCATTCATTCGTCGTGAACCAAGGGGGCGGAGCTTAACTGCAAAATTCTTTTTTCTATACGAGAAATTAAAACATGTTTTTGAGTATCGTGTTGTTCAAAGAGTAATATGTATATTAAGAAAAAATTAAACCCCACCCACACCTGCCCTGATCTAAATATGTAGTAAAGAATAAGTTTTCATTCGTTGCCAGACCTAAGGGCGGAGCCTAATTGTAAAATCCATATTTCTCTACAAAAAATTACCATTTTAAACATGTTTTAAATTACTAAGAATAAGAAAAATCATCACAATTGAGATGGGGTGGGTGGGTGGAGTTTATATTTTGCCTTTTTTTTTCGTAATACACATAGAATTCTTTGAACACGATATTCAAAAACATGTTTTTAATTTCTTGGAAAGAAAAAAGTATTTTTCGGTTAAGCTCCGCCCCTTGGTTCGCCGCGAAAAAAAAATCATCACAATTGAGATAGGGCGGGTGGGCGGGCTTACAGTTTTATTCAAAAAATATTGGGCACTGTCATTCTATCATTTATTACAAATCGTATGTGATTCAAGACAGATATGACACTACTGTCAGTAAATTAAGGTTATCTAAATTAAGCACATTTTACAAGTTATAACATTAGTAAATGACAGCTGCCCAATATTTTTTTAATTTTGACTTTTTGTTTTAATATGTGTAGACTTTGGATTTTGCAATTAGTCTCTGCCCCATAATTGCAAAATCCATATTTTCTTACCATTTTAAACATGTCTCAAGTTTCTTGTTGTGAAAAGATGGCTACATATATTAAGAAAAAAAAGTCAAAATATAAGCCCCGCCCACCCACCCTGTCTCAATTCTGATGATTTTTTTTTGTTCGTCGTAAGCTGAAGCTGAAGCTTGCATTTGATAAGATAAAATAGAACCCGAAGATAAAACTGACTTTTGACATTTTCGACTATTTTTCAAGTATTTTCCGAAAATTAGCGAGAAAAGTGAGAAAAATTTTTCGTAATTTCCAAATTTTTTTTTTTTTTGAATCAGTTAAAAGACGATCTGACTCGACGGAAAATAGTTGGCTTTTAGATAATTTTTCGCAGATTACGAATCTAAAACATTTTTGGCGATTTATCTTCAAATAACTGAGAAATACGAGGAAAGGACTCCAAAAATCCCCAATCTTTCCAAAAATTTGAAACTGTTCCACCAAATGGATTTATTTGAGAGGAAAACATTGAGTTTCTAATTTTATAGAGTACTAATCGCAAATTTATCTCATGAAATACTAGCCCCGCCCATCTACCTACCCTCTATTTTCTTAAAGAGTATGTCATTTGCCAAAAATTGTCTTATCTTAGCAAGCACTAGCCCCGTCCACCCACCCCTATTTTCTTAGAGGAGTATCTCATTTGCCAAAAATTAGTTTTTTTCTTAGCAAATACTAGCCCCGCCCACCCGCCCTTCCTTTCCTTGTAGGATATGTTATCTGCCAAAATCAGCCCTGCCTTAGCAAGTACTAGCCCCGCCCACCCGCCCTCTATTTTCTTGGAAGGTATGTGATTTGCCAAAATCAGCATTATCTTAGCAAGTACTATAAATGGCAAAATAAATTATTAAACAATAATTAAATACCACTTGCTAAGATAATATTGATTTTGGCAAATCACATACCTTCCAAGAAAATAGAGGGTAGGTGGACAGCACTAGTATTTGATAAGATAAAACTGATTTTCCCACTGTTGACATTTTCGACTATTTTTCAACTATTTCCGAAAATTAACGAGAAAAGTTTGAACAATTTTTCGTAATTTTCAAAATTTTTTTGTCTGAAGCAGTTAAAAGACAATCTGACCCAACGGAAAATAGTTGGGTTGTAGATAATTTTTCGCATCTAAAATATGTTTGACGATTTGTCTTCAAATAACTGAGAAATGCGAGGAAAGGACTCCCCAAATCCCAAAAATTTTCAAAAAATTTGAAACCGTTCCAAATGGCTTAATTTGAGAAGAAAACATTGAGTTTCTAGTTTTATAGAGTATTAATCGCAAATTTATCTTATGAAATATTAGCCCCGCCCACGCACCCACCCTCTGTTGTCTTCTTTTAGCAAGTACTAGTTCCGCCCACCCTCTCTCTATTTTCTTCAGGGGTATGTTATTTGCTAAAATAAGTTTTTTTTCTTAGCAAATACTAGCCCCGCCCGCCCACCCTCTCTTTCCTTGTAGGATATGTCATCTGCCAAAATCAGTCTTATTTTAGCAAGTACTATATTATATATTGAAATTGTAAAATAAATTATTAAACAAAATTAAATAGTACTTGCTAAGATAAAACTGATTTTGGCATATCACATAGCTTCGAAGAAACTAGAGGGTGGGTGGGCGGGGCCAATATTTGATAAGATAACACTGATTTTCACACTTTTGACATTTTCGACTATTTTTCCGAAAATTGGCGAGAAAAGTGAGCAAAATATTTGGCAATCTCCAAAAATTTTTTGTCTGAAACAGTTAAAAGACGATCTGACCCAACGGAAAATGGTTGGCTTAATTGTAAAATCCTTATTTTTCTACGAGAAATAGTAATACTAAGGCCCTTTCAGAACACAACACTTTTTTAAGGATTTCACCCTGTTTTTCCAAAGATAAGCTTTTTTAATTAAAAATTTTACCCTGTTTTTAAGGTATATTTAAAAAAACAAATATTTCAAACATTTTATTGTTATTAAGGTAGGTATATTAAAAAGTTACAATGTTAATGCATTTTGACCTATTTACCCCGAACAATCTATCCGATTTTCAAGGTACCTTTGTTAACAGTTAAAATTCACCTTTTTGTTCCTGTCGTTCTGTTGGGCCACTTCAAAACAATTTGATTTTTTAATCATTTTGCCCTGTTTTTCAAGGTATGTTTTTAATAAAGTTAAATTTTTAAGAAATTTACGCCGTTTTTTTCAAAGGTGAATACGGCAAAATATAAACCCCGCCCACCCACCCCATCTCAATTGTGATTTTTCTTATCCTTAGAAACTTAAAACAAGTTTAGAATGGTAAATTTTTGCAGGGAAATATGGATTTGGAATCAGGCTCCGCCCTAGGGTCTGGCAACGAATGAAAACTTCATTACTACATATTTAGATCAATGTAGGTATGTGTGGGGCTTAATCTTTGGCTTTATTTTTTTCTTAATATACATAGTATTCTTTGAACAACACGATACTCAAAAACATGTTTTAGTTTCTCATATAGAAATAAGGATTTTGCAGTTAAGCTCCGCCCCCTTGGCTCACGACGAATAAAAAATCATCACAATCGAGATAGGGTGAGTGAGCGGGGCTACATTTTGCCTTTTTTTCTTAATATGTGTAGACTTATTTTGACAACAAGAAACTTAAAACATGCCTAAAATGGTAATTTTTTGTAGTAATCAACTTAAATCCCCCACTTTTCTTCTACAATCCCTTTAAATACGGCTAAAGTTGAACATCAATGTTACTATTATCAACGGCAACTTGGCAACGGAGTGGGAACAGCAATTGCAACTGGAACTTCAACGTCAACGGTAAGTTTATAAATCATAAATCCCACTTACATTTTATGCTGTAGTTGTCAGCGAAAACATTTCAAAACAAAAAAAACGAGCCTATTTCATAAAAACGTTTTTTTTAACACGTGTACAACAACTCCTTTAGTTATTTTTCGAAAAATAAAATGCAAATCAAAAATGATATAAAAAAATAAACGATGGCTCGCGAGTCTACTGAAAAACTTACACTCAGAAAAATCGAGAAAAATATTATCAAAAACACTTGAAAAACTGTCGCTAGTCCGCCCCTGCGTAAAACACCGTTAGTTGTTACCAACATAAGACCCATCTAGGGACAACTGTCGGCCTGTCGGCAGTGACGTGTGTCAAACCATTACACATGTCAATTAAAATTTAATTAAAGGAAAAATGCTGTCAGCGTATTTTAATGAGTAAATTATTTACACAATAAAACAGCAATGACGAACGTAAATAGTAAGTAGTGCAATATTTTCTTCAGTCTCGCACTAATGCGTTTATGCCTCAGGCAGTTTAGACCAGCTGAGAGTCTGGAGAGAAAACAACGACCGAAAAAGCAGAGAAATAATAGAAATATGGATCAGAAATCTAAACTCGAACGTACAGAAACTGGGAAAAGAGAGTAAGTTCCAGTTTGCTAATTACTCGCGTAAAATCCGCGCTTTTAGAACCTCTGGTTTTGGAGCAAGTGTGCATAGCAGCCCTAGATTGCAACGAACTGGGCATCGCTCAAAAGTGCATTCAAGAGCTATACAAAGACTTTCCTAAAAGCCTAAGAGTGAAAAAATTCGAGGCCATGTTTCTAGAAGCCCAAGAAAAATACGAAGAAGCGATTGAAATCTTAGACAACATTATAAAGCATGATGAGACCCACAGCGGTGCGAAAAAACGCAAAATCGCTATATTGAAAGCCCAAGGCAGAAACGTGGAAGCCATAAAAGAACTAGCAGATTATCTGAAAATGTGAGGTTAGCTTTTGTGTTTTCTGTAATAATCGGTGGTTTGTAGCTTCATGGCGGATGTTGAAGCTTGGCAGGAACTCAGTGAGCTATACATAACTGAACAAGACTTCAGTAAAGCCGCTTTCTGTGTGGAAGAGTTAATCTTGCACAACCCCCACAACCATTTGTTGCATCAGCGCTATGCAGATATAAAATACACTCAAGGGGGCTTAGAAAATATAGAAATCGCGCGTTCGTATTACTGCCAAGCAGTTAAACTGAACCCTAACAACATGAGGGCCCTGTATGGTCTATACTTGGTGGGTGCCCCATTTTATAACACTCATAAAACTTGTAATTTGTCAATTACAGGCCACCACTGCGATCGCAACATCACAGAAGTGTTCATCTCAAAAGAAAAAAGAAGCGTTGAAATTATCAGAGTGGGTTTTGGATGAAATTCAAAGCCAGTACAAAGATGTGGAGGTTAGTGATATGGAGGAGCGACTAGGGGCACTACAATTAAATTAAGCACTCAGTAGTAATTGTTGTTGGTTGATGTTCTTGTTCACTAAATGTTACGTGGTTTTTGTGGAATAAAGATTCTAAAGAAGTAACCTTAATTACAATCAATATATTAACAAAATTAAAATACACACAACTACTGCAGCCCGTGCGATTTACGACCACTGTCTGATGAAAGCCCTTCTGTTAAATTCTTTCCAAGGGGTGTGAACATAGTATCCTTGCATCATGGGGTCAATCAACTTGTCTTTATCGACAGTTTTGTACAAAGGCTCTCCGTAGTAAGTACCCACTTCCCAACCTTCTACGTTCTTCATCAACTCGGCTTCCTCGTCCCGATTTCTTCTGAGTTGTTTCAAGTATTCGCGGTCGCGTTCGGCTAAGAGCAAGGGAAAAATTGCGAAGCGGCCAGAACGCATTTCAATCTCGTTCCGGTGCAGTCGTTTGCAATTCAGGTAGTAGAGAAAGCCCGCGGCGGCGGTCATCCCCAAATAACCCCCGATTAGAGCCCAACCTAAAAGTGAGGTTAGGTAATTACATAACATATTCATAGTTAAAATCGTAAAAAACGGAAATTAATGGATGGATTACCGCTGAAATATGTTTTCGCGGGGATTCTTTTGTAACTTATGGGTTTGTAGCCCCCCTCAGGGGGCATATCTTGTTTTTTCGCACTGGCTGAAGTAGCCATTTGTTTTTTATTGACAGTTAAACAATGGCGGCGGAATCTGTCAAAGCCGGTTATTTTGTTACAGATTTCTAGCACGATTTTCACGATTTTAATTTTTATTTCAACTAATTTGTAGATTTTACTCTAGTGGAGAAGCCAGTCGTGCTAAGTGGGTATTATTGTGTCGATTTTCTAGCTTGGTTGATTTTATTTTGTAGTTTTTGCTGCAAAGTTCGTTTCGCCGCTAGATGGTGCCACCATTTTTAATCAAAAAATCATGTGGCAATGGACATATTTGTATGATTTGATAAGAAATTGTGATGGTGTCAAAACATATTTGTGAAATTAATAATGATATAAAAATGAGTTGTGTGACCAATCGGTATTTGGAATCGATAATCGAGATTATAAGAAATTTGTTGAATTCTTGACCGGGGTAACAACATGAGTTGAAATGAAGAAAGTTAAAAATTCCACAGATATTCACCAAAAACAGGGCCAGGAGCTGTCTAAAAAGCTGTATAGGTGGGTGGTACGTCACGCCTTATCAGTGTCTAACCTCACTCTCTCCTCAGATCAACAACCGAACATGCTAAACGTTTAGACGATGCTCGAAGCTGCGCCCGAACCATCGGCGACTTGTTCACCCCAAGTCTGCAAATCAAGCGTCGAAAATTTTGCGAGTACTGCGAACAGCTGATTTTTTCCGACCCCATGTTGTATGGGAAGAAGGGCGAAGAACTGCTTTGGCGCAAGGGGTATTACGACGTGGTTTCTACGGCGAAGAAGCTGAAAAAGAGGGAGTATAGTCAGGAGGAGATATGCAACTTGCAGACGCACATTAACGCCGGAATTGGCTTCTACCACCACTTGATCTCTAGGTTGCAGTGCGAATTTAACCTAGATTTGACCCATGTGATAGATTTTTCTGTCGAGTCACAGGCCAACAGTGACGTCAGAAGCGATTGTTTGGATTGGGCGACTTCGTCCGTACATCAGTGTTTGATTTATTTGGGGGATTTGAGTAGGTACCGGCTCGAGGTTAACCCAAAAAGCGAGCCCATTTTGGCGTTTCGGTATTATTTACAAGCAATTTCGTTCAAGTCGGACCACGGGATGCCCCACAACCAAATGGGGACTCTAGCGATGAATAGAAACAAATTCTTAGATGCGGTTTATCATTACATGCGTTGTTTGGCTTGCACGGTTTCCTTTGAAGGAACCATCAATAATTTGCATAGCTTGTTTGATAAAAATTCCAAGTACTTGGAACAGTTACCACTAGAACCAAACCCCGACTGTATTTCCCAGACTGACAAAAACGACCAACTTAAACGCTTCATCGCTAGGTTCCTTCTCCTAATAGACATATGGTACTTTAACAAAAAAGTCACCAAAGTATACAGTTTGTGTCACCAGACTTACAAAGACCTTGAAGAATGTTTATCTTTATTGAAAACGACAAACGAGAGCTGTGAATCCCCCACGGAGAGCGAAACCGACTCCGTTACGTCACCAGAACTGCTAAGCAACGATATGATTTTCAAAATCGTAGTAATCTGCCTCCTCTGCATCTCCAAACTCCAAAAAACCGGCCACAATCAAGTTTCCACCGCCGTTGCTTTCACCCTTGCCATTTACTCCCAATTGGTCCAAAACGTGACCAACCACATCCACGAAAGCGTCCTAAACTACCCCCTACCAGAAGTCGAAGTAAAAATGGAGCAGACAAACGGAATCGTTACCGATCTCCTGAAGAAGAACCACCGAAAACGAAACACTTCGAAACTGCGACGCCGTAAAGCTTTACCGGTCGAGATCGAGTCGGACGCCAGCGAAGGGGAAGACCCGGCCGAAGCCGAATCCGCGGCGAGTTCGGACGACGACGACTCGTTTGTTTCCGACGACGAGAATATTCTGGCGGAATCGTCCGACGAGGAGTCGGACGTGAAGAAATCCGACGATTCTGTGAAAGAAGAGAATAAAGAAAACGGGACTGAGAACGAAGACAAAGTCGATGTGATTAAGAAAATCAAACGGATGGATGTTAACGATATGCTCGAGATTATCACAGAAGAGGGATCTTTGCAAGCTGTTAAGGTGATAAATGATTGGTTGATGCAGGATACGGAAATTATTAAGTCATGCGGGACGAATACTAGGAGTTTGTTGCGACAGATCACAAATATGTTGAATTTGATTAATATTAATATCAAAAGTTCAAAGATATCTGGGATCAAGTTGAATGTCGCTAGTGTGATCAAGAATGAAGAGAAAATCCCGTTGAGCGAAGATATCGTCTTGAAAGGGGTTGAGATTTTGGCGAAAGCTCACAACGACTTGGATTGGAATTACTTGCATAAGCATGGGATGAACACTAAGGAGGAAAGTGTTACTAGGATCATAAAATTTATGTCGTTTGGGAAATTTTTGACTAGTATTGAGGAGACGGGTATTACTTTTGATGAAGATAAGAATGTTTTTGTTTGCAAGTGTGAAGATAATGAGGAGGAGAAGCCGTCGAATGCCATTGTTGAAGATCTAGTAAGTATTTCTAAATGTATGAGTATCAGAGTTGTTGGAATTTATTTCACTATTACGTTTCACGCTACATAAAACTGTTATGTCTCAATTATCCGTAAGAATAACACCTGTTATGCCTGAAGCGTCCGCATGCCCGGGATTTGTTATGCTTCAGCCACCACTTTATTTAAAATTTTAAAATATGAGTTTATACGGTGCTCACTTTCGCTCTGGACAAGAATCTCTGGAGAAAAAGTGGTAGTTTTAATGGTACAATTTGAGCCCAAGGAAAATAATACAACTCGCTGCTCTTGCTAAAAAAGTGGCGATGTGATGTAATACAGACTCGGTATACATAATTACAACTTTGTTTCGTGAAATGCGGTGGAAAATCAGAATGAGTCATATTAAATTAGCACTACACGTTTTAACCTTATGGTTATGTTCTCATTTCCTTTAATAAATTCCAAGCAATCCACTTTGATGTTTTTTATCGTTTGGTAGCAATCTGATTTCGCGTTTTTGTTTTATCCAAGCGAATTTTGTCGGTGTAGCCTTGAAGTTTACACTGATTTCGTTTTTTTAGTGACGTCGTTTACACCGTTAAATCTTATAAATCAAATTTATTTTTCCATGGTTTATGAATCAAAATTTGGCTAATGAAAAACTTACATTGGTAAATGTTGTTTAAATTTTATAAAGGAAGATACTCCTTCAAATGTTTTAAGGTTATCGCAAGGATGGTAAATCGTGAATCAAAGTTTTTCCGTTTATGCTCTCTTCAAGAAATGTTTATCTCATTTTATAATTTTGCCGAAGTTTCCTTATTTTACAGAATTACATACTTTTTGCATGTGTGATTCGTGAACCCGTGTTGAGATTTTACGCAAAACGTCAAAATTTTTGGGGAACAAATCAAAATTGTATAACATTTTACAATTTAATTTTGAAATTGCTAAACTAGTGCTCTGAAATCATGAACGCTTTGAGGTTATAGGAAGAATTTTTCAATTTTCGATAACTCAAGTTTTTGAATTTTAGGTCACTAGATTTTAGATTTCTTGAGGTTTTTTTTTTTTCAATTTTTGGAATTAGCGATTTTCGGTTTTTCGATTTGTTCATTTTTCGAAATTCGAATTTTCGATTTTTATACTTTTCGCCTCTTCATTTTCTCGATTTTTCAGTTTTTCGTTTTTCCGATTTTTTTAATGTGCCTTTTTTTCAATGTTCAATTTTCGAAAGTTCGAATTTTCAATTTTTCGATATTTCAATTTTTTTAAATTCTATTTCTCGATTTTTCAATTTTTCTATTTTTCGACTTTCTATTTTTCGATTCTTAAAGTTTTCGATTTTTCGCAATTTTCGGTTTTCCCATTTTTCAAATTTTCGTTTTTTCGAATACTTAATTCATTGAATTTTTGATTTTTCGTTATTCGAATTTTCAATTCTACAATTTTTCCGTTTTTGATTTTCAATTTTTAGATTTTAGAATTTTTGCGTTTCCGATTTTTCGAATTTTCGTTTTTTCAAATACTTAATTAATTTAATTTTTGATTTTCGGTTTTCAATTTTTGATAACTCAAATTTTTGGATTTTAGGTCACTCGATTTTAGATTTCTCGAGTTTTTTTTTTTCGATTTTTGAAATTACCGATTTTCGGTTTTTCAATTTCTTCATTTTTCGAAATTCGAATTTTCGATTTTTATACTTTTCGCCTCTTCATTTTCTCGATTTTTCAGTTTTTCGTTTTTCCGATTTTTTGAATACCTTTTTTTAATTTTCAATTTTTTAAATTCTCTTTCTCAATTTTTCTATTTTTCGACTTTCTATATTTTCAAAGTTCGAATTTTCGATTTTTCGATATTCGATTTCTCAATTTTTTTAAATTCTATTTCTCGATTTTTCTATTATTCCATTTTTCGATTTTTTGACTTTTATATTTCGAGTCTTGGAGTTTTGTTTTTGTGCAATCGTCGTTCGAACTTTGGATTTTTCCGTTTTTGAATCATTTCTATTCTTAGATTTTCGAATTTTCGGTTTTCTGATTTTTCGAATTTTCGTTTTTTCGAATATGTACTTAATTCATTGAATTTTTGATTTTTCGATATTCGAATTTTCAATTGTACGATTTTTCAAACCTTCGATTTTAAATTTTTTGGATTTTCGATTTTTCAATTTTTCCATTCTTCAATTTCTATACTTTTCAATTTTTCCACTTTTCGATTTTTCGATATTCCAATTTTCAATTTGTTTCCTTTTCGATTTCCCGATTTTTCCATTTTTCAGTATTTCAAATTTTCGATTTTGAATTTTTTTGAATTTTCGACTTTCAGTTTTTCGATTTATCGATATTTCCAATTTTCGATTTTTCAAATTTTCAGTTTCCGATTTTTTCATTGTTCGAATTTTCCGAAATCTCGATTTTAGAGTAGTTGATTTTTCGGTTTTTTGATTTATGATTTTTAGATTTTCAAATTTTTGGTTTTCCGATTTTTGGATATTCGAATTTTCAATTTTTTCTTTTCGATTTCTCGGTTTTTAAATTTTTCAATTGTTTTTTTTTTCAAATTTTCGATTGTTCGAAGTTTTTATCTTCAATTTTTTGATTTTTCGATTTTCAATTTTTTCATTCTTGAATTTCGTGGCTTTTCAATTTTTTTACCTTTCGAATTTTCAATGTTTCCGTTTCGATTTCCCGATTTTTCAATTTTTCGATATTTGAAAGTTTCGATTTTTATTTTTTTTTGAATTTTCGATATTTCAGTTTTCGAATTTTCGATTATTCGATATTCAACTTGTCAATTTTTTAATTTCGATATTTCGAGTTTTCAAATTTTCCATTTTTCGATTTTAGAATTTTCCATTTTTCAACTTTTGATGTCTTTTTTTTTGTTTCAATTCTTGGATTTTTGATTTTTCGAAATCTCGATTTTCGAATTCTTGATTTTTCGGTTTTTTGTTTTATGATTTTTAGATTTTCAAATTTGTGGGTTTCCAATTTTTGGATATTCGAATTTGCAATTTTTTTCTTTTCCATTTCCCGATTTTTAAATTTTTCTTAACGATTTTTCAAATTTTCGATTATTCGAAGTTTTTATTTTCGAGTTTTCAACTTTTTTATTTTTCGATTTTTTTATTCCTCGAGTGTTTCGATTTTAGGTACTAGAATTTTCAATCCTTTTACTTTTCAATTTTTGGATTTTTTAAATTTTGGGTCTTTCGATTTCTCGAAGTTTCAGTGTTTCCCATTTTTCAATCTATTTGATTTTTAATTTGTTTTAAAAGTCAAAAAATCGAGGGATGGAAGAATCGAAAAGTCGTAAAATCAAAAAATCCAGAAATTGAAAAACAGTGAAACCCAAAAATTGAAAAATCGGGAAATTGAAATTTGCGATTTTTTTGTTTTTAATTTTTACGGTGTTTCAAGCAGTTTGTGGATTTTCCGATTTTTCGAATTTTCGATTTGTGTCTTTCTCTGTTTTTCAGTCATTCAAATTTGCATTTGTAAATTTTTTAGATTCTTCATTTTTTCCTCGATTTTTCGATTTCGGGATTTTTGAATTTTAGATTTTTCAAATTTTCGAATTTTTGATGTTTCGAATTCTTGGAAATTTTAATTTTTCAATTTTTAAATTTTAGTTTTTTAATGATTCGATTTCTCGATCTTTCGATTTTTCGACTTCTCAGTTTTAGATTTTGGGTTTCTCAATTTTTCGACTTTCAATTTTTTCGTTTTTCAATTAAAAATTTTTGAGATTTTCACTTTTTCGAGTTTTCGATGTTTCGATTTCTCGAGTTTTCTTTTTTTTACTTTTCGATTTTTAAATTTTCAATTTTCCATGTTTTCCATTTTTTGATTTCTCGATTTTTCGGTTTTTCGATCCTTCAATTTTTCGATTCATCAGTTTTTGGATATTTTGATTTTTCAGTTTTAGTTAAGTTTTATACACATTTTGCGATTTTTCGATTTGTCAGTTCTTCTAAATTTTCCATTCTTCAATTTTTCGAATTTTAAAATTCTAGATTTTCAGTTTTTTAATGTTTCGATTTCTCCATCTTTCGATTTTTCTACTTCTCGGTTGTAATTGATAAATCCAAAATTTGAAAAATTAAAAATCGAAAGTTCAAAAAATCGTGGAATTGAAAATCAAAAAAAAAATTCGAAAAGTACGATTGCGAAAAACTGAAAAATCTAAGAATCGAAATATAGAAAAAATGAAATATGAAAGTCGAAAAATTGAAAATCGAAAAGTAAAAAAATTGGAAATTCGAATATCCAAAAATCGAAAAGTTAACAAATTGAAAAATCTAAAAATTGAAGAATGTCAAATCTGAAAAAGGCAAGAATTCAAAAAATCAAAAATCGAAAACTCGAGGAATCAAAAAATCGAAAAGTAAAAAAGTTGAAAAATCGAAAAACTGAATAATGAAAAAATTAAAAATCGAAAAATCAAAAAATTTAAAATAAAAACTTCGAACAATCGAAAAGAAAAAAATTGGAAATTCGAATATCCAAAAATAGAAAAACCAAAAATTTGAAAATCTAAAAATCATAAATCAAAAAACCAAAAAATCAAGAATTCGGAAAACGAGATCTCGAAAAATCAAAAATCCAAGAATTTAAATATAAAAAAACGACAAGTCGAAAAATGGAAAATTTGAAAAATCGAGATATCGAAATTAAATAATTGAAAATTTTAATATCGAACAATCGAAAATTCGAAAACTGAAAATTCGAATATCAAAAAATCGAAAAGTAGAAAAATTGAAAAGTTTAGAAAATGAAGAATGGAAAAATTGAAACATCGAAAATCCAAAATATTTAAAATCGAAGGCTTGAAAAATCGTAGAATTGATAATTTGAATATGGAAAAATCAAAAATTCAATGAATTAAGTATTCGAAAAAACGAAAATACCGAAAATTCGAAAATCAAAAACGGAAAAATCGAAAATTCGAAATCGACGATTGCGAAAAATCGAAAACTCCAAGAATCGAAAAATAGAAAGTCGAAAAATGGAA